CCCGCCGCCGCCGCCGCCGCCGCGCGGAGCCCTCGAGACAAGCACGGGACTGTCGAAACGCTTACCGCGACGAAAAACGCCTACTCCATCTCGGCCTCCCCGGCGCCCCCGACCGGCTGCTTCTCCGCCGACGATACCGCCTCTTCGGTAGAAAAAAAACACGACGACGACAAGCACCCGGAACGACCCGTTTGTCCGACGGCGCCGCGGCTCTCCTGCTGTGTAGGGCATGCGATGTCGGCGCCGTCCGCCGCCGGCGGCGGCGCGGGTTTCCAGGGCAGGGCGGCCCCGCCGGGTGCGGGGAGTTCGACGGGTGGTCAGGCGGCGGCGGTGGGTGGGAGAGGGCCGACGGTTGGCGAGGGGAAGGCGCCGCGCCGTCAGGTCGAAGAGGGCGCCGAGGTGGGGTCGACTTGCTTGACGGAGGTGTTGCCTGACGAGCCGGCGGCAGTGACGACAAGGGCTGCTGCTGCTGCTCCTGCTGCTTCGGTGCGGGAGGGAGAGGAGTTTGAGGCGGAGGCTCAGTTGACGGTGGATTCACCGGCTACTACTGGTGCTGGTGGGGTTGAAGCGGACAATAAATTGGAGGTGGAGGCGGCGGCGGCGATGGCGACCGGGCAGCAGGGCCTACGCTCTCAGGTATCGCGCCCTTCCTTTCCCAAGCGCCAAGTAGGCGGGAGGGAGAACCGTGCTGTCTGTCGCCGGGTGGCCGATCTCTCTTGTTAGACTATGTCTTCATGCACGCAACTCTTACTCCTGAAGGGCCAAGTAATGCCGCTGCTGGTGTTGCTTGAGATAGTACTTCTTGTGTGGGTGTCACCCGTGAGGGGGTTACGCCGACACGGGTTCGTGGTCCCCGTTCTCCAACGACTCAGGTTTTACGGGTCTTTCGGTTAAACCGCAAGCTCGCACTACGGCCGAAGCAACAACAGCGGCAGGGAGACGGGGCTCCCCGCGAGAGGAATTCCGATGAAAAAGCCCCCTCGCTCAGTCCGTCATAAGATCAAGAGCATGGCGTACGATTGTCAAAGTGTGAAGTGTGTGCCTGTTTACCGTCGCGCTTGTGGGGTGTCGTGTAGCCCGCCGGTGCGAAAGTCGCGGTGTGCGAGGTTTTCACTCTGACACGGCTGGGGAAGGCAACCTCACTTTCATCATCGGCTCTCATAGCTTGTTTTTTGTACCACCCGCCTGTTTGCCTGTTCAGCTCCCGGCTGCGGCATCTGCATTTCTCGCCCATGTCGCAAACTCCAACTCGCTGTGTCTTTGCTTCGTCGCAAACTCCAACCTGCTGTGTCTAGAGCGGAGGGGCCGGACAAGGAAAGGAAGACCAGCAATGCCACGCTGGAGTATGGGGAAGCCCGTCGTCGCAGACTTCGTCCTCGGCTTCTCTGAAGGACTTCGTGCACTACGTCCGGGTGCAATCGGGGGGGCGAGGGGGCGCTTCGCCGTCGTCCCCTGCCTCTCGCTCCAACCGTACACGAGGCGGTGGTCAGGGGGCAGGGGCTATGCGTTCAGGTGACGCACACATGAGCCAGGATAAGGAGGCGTTTTCGAGCGAAGGAATACCGGAGACGTTTCATCGGCGTCCCCTGGGTCCCGTGCGGCGCAGCGATGAGATGGAACACCCCTCGTCTTCACGGTGAGTTTCGTTTTTTGTCGGAATGCCTAGTTGGTGGTGGGATACCAAACAAGCGTCAGTGCACTCTTACAAAACAACACCCTTGATGACAAGGGAAAAACGATCAAGAGCTAAAAAATAGTGGCTCACCTTGCCGACGGGGCGACGATAGGATGAACCACCTTGTGGTTCTACATAGCACGCTGATGTTCGGGCACGTTCTATGTAGGTATTTCGGCATGGGCGCCGAGAATCGCTTGTACTAGCCATGTTAGTCGCATTCCTCTGTGTCAAGATTTGCTCACCCCCCAACCCGCCTTCAGAAATACGCGCCGACGATGAGAGTCGATTATCGCCGCGGGACAGCCACCTGCTCTGGGTGAAAACTTCATCCATTTATCTTTGTGCCCTCTCTTATTTGCTCGGGATGGACCCACCGCGGTTCTCCTTTGAAAGCAGCAGCAAGCCCCAAGAGCACCATCCCCATCTAGGGCCAGAAGAACCAGCGGCGGTTACGGCTTTGGGGGCTTCGGCCGCAGAGACCCCGACCACCGCGCTAGCCGGGGTCCCCGGGTATCAGACCCACCACCATCACCCATCGTCCCGGTCACGACGGAGCGCTCAAGCGGACACGGTTCGGTACAGCGGTAGCGGCGTCGGCGGTGGGAACGCGGGGGGGGGTGACGCGAAGGGGAGCAGCAGCGAGGGGAGGGGGCTGTTGCCGGGGTCTTCCGTGCTGAGACACAGGGTGAGGGAGAGTCGGTTATGGTGGGGGGG